TTCCTGCTATAGCAAGATTCTCATACTTCACCATTTTCACAGCAATCGTCCACTTAGTCTCTAGCTCTATTTTAAATTAGTAGATGTACAGTGAGTGTCTATTTTCTGACATTTACTCTAAAAGGTTCTAGGAGAATATAAACATGCATATTGATACCTCTGTCCCCTTCCCAGTGGAGGAGAAAAACAAGTAACTCTTGTAAGCTAAACTGAGATCAATACTATAAATTCGCTTATTCATCCATTCCATCAACAAACATTAAGCTCTACTATGTGCAAGATGCAAAATATTATCATAAAAGGCAGACTGATAATTAACTTGAAGAATGTGCAGATAAGGAGGTTTAGAAGAGACAGAAAATTACAGTCAAAGAGAACAGGGAAGATTTCAAGGAAAATGTAGCATTCTGCACTGGATCTTGATGACTCGCGAAGGGAAAGCACCTTAAGTAGCGGAATCTGCACAAATATACAGACATGGGACCAGGTCTCATCTGGAGGATGAGGAACAGCAAGTAGGCCAGTTCCTACTGAATGGAAGAGGTTTGAAGGAAAGAAGTGGAGGGTAAGGCTAGAGAGGGTTAAACTCCTTCTGGAAGACAGAAACCATGTCTGATGAGATCGCTTTATGAGGGCTCAGTATATACTTGGAGTGATACTCAAACCTTACCAATCACAAGAGTAGAACAACATGCCATAAAATGTATTTGTGGAGGCCCTGGTAGTGGTAATGACAAAGGGGAGGATGATTGCAATGAGGTGGTGACAGGGGTGATGGAAGAGGAAGAGGATACTTGGTAAAAAAGGCAGATTGTTAGAAAAGGAATGAAAACCCCACATTTTTCCTATACCACATTATTGATGAAAGTTTATCCTAACTCTACTTAAGGAACATAGGCTCAAAGATGGTATTAGGCATAGGGGAGATCACAGAATTGATAGTGCAGTGGATTCAATAGTCAGCTAAACTAACTAAAGAAGGCAATGAATCTAGGCCTCTTTCAAACAGAAGACCCAATTAGAGACAAGTAAAAGCGGTAACAAGGAAATAATCTAAGATATCTAATGAACCTATAAAACTTAGCGTCACAGACTTAAAAAGCATTTGGCACTTACATGAATAAGCAATGTTATTAGTATTTAATATCCCTAGAGATGTGTCATTATCATGTTAATTTCACTTAAGATGATGAAATAGCTATTCTAATGCTTGCCCTTATGAAGTTCAATGAATATGAGAATCAGATAGACTTAATTAGTAGTCACACGAATTCTATAGTATAACATTATTGAAATAAGAAATAGAATTGGCATAACAACGTTTTTGCTGGGCTTCCCTAGTGGCACAGTGGTTAGGACTCCTGCCTGCCAATGGAGGAGACACAGGTTCGAGCCCTGGTCTGAGAAGATGCCGCATGCCGTGGAGCAACTAAGCCCGTGCATCACAACTACTGAGCCTGCGCTCTAGAGCCTGCAAGCCACAGCTACTGAGCCCGCGTGCCACAACTACTGAAGTCAGTGCTCCCAGAGCCCATGCTCCACAACAAGAGAAGCCAACACAATGAGAAGCCCACTCACCGCAACAGAGTAGCCCCTGCTAGCCGCAACTAGAAAAAAGCCTGCGCACAGCAACAAAGACCCAATGCAGCCAAAAATAAATAAATAAATAAATTTTAAAAATTGTTTTTGCTGCCAGGTTTGGTTCTTTTTTCAAAATTCCCATTCATATTATTTTCAGTTGGATTTCAATGTTCCTATGATAGCTTCCATTACTGCCCTCGGGAGACTAGTCTTTAAAATAATAGTTGTTGGGTTTCCCTGGTGGCACACTGGTTGAGAGTCCGCCTGCTGATGCAGGGGACACGGGTTCGTGCCCCGGTCCGGGAAGATTCCACATGCCACAGAGCGGCTGGGCCCGTGAGCCATGGCCGCTGAGCCTGCGCGTCCGGAGCCTGTGCTCCGCAACGGGAGAGGCCACAACAGCGAGAGGCCCGTGTACCGCAAAAAAAAAAGAGAGAAAGCCCGCACATAGCAATGAAGACCCAACGCAGCCAAAAATAAAATTAATTAATTAAAAAAAAAATTTACCAACTTAACCATTTCTACGTACGAAGTTCCATGGTGTTAAGTGTATTTACATTGTTGTGCAACCAGAACTTTTCCCTCTTTCAAAACTGAGACTCTGGGGGTGGTGGGGAGGGATAAATTAGGAGTTTGGGATTAACAGATACATACCACTATATATAAAACAGATAACCAACAAGGACCTACTGTACAGCATGGGGAACTACACTCAATATTTTGTGATAACCTATAAGGGAAAAGAATCTGAAGAATAATATATACATATATAACTGAATAAGTATGCTGTCCACCTGAAACTAACACAGTACTGTAAATCAACTACACTTCAATAAAAAAACAAAAAAGCCTGAGACTCTGTATCCATTAAACGATAACTCCCCATTCCCTTTCCCTCCCGCCCCTGGCAACTCCATCTCTATTTTTTGTTTCTATGAGTGTGGCTACTCTAGGTACCTCATATATGTGGAATCATATAGTTTTTGTCTTTTTGTAATTAGCTTATTTCATTTAGCATAATATCCCCAAGGTTCATCCATGTTGCAGCATGGGTCAGAATGTCCCTCCTTTTTAGAGCTGAATAACATCCCATGGTATGGATATTCCTCATTCTGTTTATCCATTCATCAGTGGACACAGGTTGCTTCCGCCTCCTGGCTATTGTAAATAATGTGATGAACATAGGTGTGCAAATATCTTTGATATGTTTCCTTTTAATGCAAAGAATTTAGTAAATTTTTTGACTGAGTGTTAATAATCCAACACTATCTGATCATAGGAAATCGATTTTCAGAATAAGAAATTCACCTGACAGCTCAATTTAACTAATATTTATATTTAAGGATGTATGTTTTATTAAGGCATGCTATCTACCACTTCATGATGGAAACACCAGCCAGTCTGATCAAATCTAAATCAGTATCATCAACTAGCAGTTGGTGGCTGGGAAGGATGTAAGCCCTTATTCAGATGCCTTCAAAGCAGCTCCATGCGGAACAGACCAACTAGCTCCACATGCCTTGCACCCCAGTATTTAATGACAACATAAGAGAAAATTCTCCCTGTAGATTTTTTAAAAGATTAACATCAAGGAAAGGATAGAATTTACCTTATCATGCCGTATCATTAGTGATGTCTTAGAACCCAGGGCAGAAAGGATCCCAGCTATTTCCACAGCAATGTAACCAGCACCAACGATGACACTGCGGCTACCATGAGAGTAGAAGGTTAAGATTGTTAAATAAACTTATTTTAGAATAATTTAAGATTTACAGAAAAGTTTAAAAGATAGTACAGATAGTATACCCCCTGCCCAGTTTTTCCTAAAGTTAACATCTTACATTCATAGCAGCACTATTTGCAATAGCCAAGACATGAAAACAACCTAAATGTCCATCAACAGATGAATGGATAAAGAAGACATGGTACATATATACAATGGAATACTACTCAGCCATAAAAAAGAACAAAATAACGCCATTTGTAACAACATGGATGCAACTAGAGATTATACTAAGTGAAGTAAGTCAGAAAGAGAAAGACAAATACCATATGGTATCACTTACATGTGGAATCTAAAATACAATACAAATGCACTTATCTATGAAGCAGAAACAGACTCACATAGAGAATAGACTTGTGCTTGCCAAGGTGGAGGGGTCTGGGAAGGGACAGACTGGGAGTTTGGGGTTAGTAGATGTAGAATGGATGGACAAGGTCCTACTGTATAGCACAGGGAACTATATTCAATGTCCTGAGATAAACCATAATAGAAAAGATACAAAAAATAATGTGTATATATGTATAACTGAGTCACTTTGCTGTACAGCAGAAATTAACACAACACTGTAAATCAACTACACTTCAACTTAAAAAAATAAAGTTAACATCTTATAAACCATGGTACAGTTGTCAAAACTGATACTGGTACATTACTGTTGACTAAACTTCAGACTTTATTCAGATGTCACCTGTCTTTCCATTCATTTCCTTCTTCTGTCCCAAGATCCAATCCAGGATAACACAGCAATTTTAAGTAGAAAATATCCTTCTGTAGAATGGAAATATATTTTTAGGTGTTTTAAAAATTCCTTAGCTTCATTTCCTCAGAGAGGAAATAAAAACCCTTTGAAGCTAGAGACGATTCCTTATGCAGAGATCTTCGCACCTAAAACTAAAATTGGCACCACAATTTTTTTTTTTTGCTTGTCCGAGAAAGTCTTTATTTCTCCGCCACTTTTTGTTTGTTTTTGCGGTACGCGGGCCTCTCACTGTTGTGGCCTCTCCCATTGTGGAGCACAGGCTCCGGACGCACAGGCTCAGCGGCCATGGCTCACGGGCCCAGCTGCTCCACAGCATGTGGGATCTTCCCGGACCGGGGCACAAACCCGTGTCCCCTGCATCTGCAGGCGGACTCTCAACCACTGCACCACCAGGGAAGCCCTCTCCACCACTTGTGATGGATAATTTTGCAGAGTAAAGAGTTCTACGTTGGTGGGGTTTTTTCCTCTCAACACTTTAAATATTCCACTCTCTTGTTTGCATAGTTTCTGAAGAGTTGTTGTAATTCTCATCTTTGCTCCCCTTATAGGTCAGGTGTGTTTCATCCTTCTGGCTTCTTCCAGAATTTTTTCTTTGATTTTCTACAGTTTGAAAATTATATGCCTAGGTATAGTTTTTTGACATTTATCCTACTTAGTGTTCTCTGACCTTCCTGGATCTGTGGTTTGGTGTCTGACATTAATTTTGGGGAAAGTGACGGTCATTATTGCTTCAAATATCTCTTCTGTTCCTTTCTTTGGCATCACAATCCTCACCACCGTTATTCTCCTCTGGCTCAGTATTTTCCCTTGATCATTGCTAAATTCTACCAATCTTTGCAATATGATGAAAGGCCAATTGAAGCAAGCCATTTTAACTTGTAGCATAGATCTGCAATGAAACTAGATGTCCTGAATAAATTCTGGTCTAAAACAGCATCTTAAACACTAGATAAATGTTTGGGTGAAGGTCTGAGTCCATGGTGGAGAAGCTGAGCCCAGCCCTGGAGTAATCGCTGCAGCATACAGAATAAGTGCCCTTCAGCTGGAGCTAACCCTTTCGGGGCTGGAGTTCTCTAAAGCTTCAAACATGGTCCTACCACTGGTGCAATGCTTGGGTAAGAAAAAAGCAATCAGGGAAGAAGAAAGGAAATCTTTCTTTAGTACCTTCCACAAGTAAGGTACCTATGTTGTGACTCCCTTCCTTTGGAGGGCTATGGTCTGGATGGAGGATGAGGTATGAACCCGAATGGCTATGTATTAGAGGTAAGGATGCTCTTATCCTACAGCCCAGTGTATAAAAAGAGAAATGTCTAGTTTGGAAACTAGGCAGTAGCTCTTCTTCCATCTCTACCATCCTCTCTCCTATTATACGTTGACCGCTTTTCCTTTCTTTGGGTCTTCGCTCCTTACTTTCTTCTTTCCTCTCTCCATCTTCTCTCTCTTCTCCAAACATTTCTTATGTAAGTGCTACTTCTGTTAAGCATCGCGCTGGACACAATGGGTAGCGATCCCTGTCCTTCAGGAATTCCTGAAGCGAAACATGCCCAGGGGTCTGTTAAAGCTCAGAGGGCAACACTTAGTTCCTGCAGGGGAGAGGGCTCTGAAACACTCCAGATTCCTGAAAGATGAATAGCTCTGGCAAGGGTCGGGAGAAGTATTCCCAGCAGAATGGATATACGAGAAACACGTGTGAAACGTCTTGGCTTCTTCAGAGAGGAGATAAAAATCTGCAAGGAGCTCAGTGTTTCCCCCTCAGCTTCCACAGGCCCCTCTAGTCCACCTCGTACCACTAAAGTAACCACTGGAAACAATCTTTTTTTTTTTCTTTTCTTTTTGGTTTAAAAAAAAAAGGAAAAGGAATTTATTGATTCACGTAACCGAGAAGTCCTGACTTCAGGTATGGCTGCATCTAAGTGTTCCGATGATGCGTCAGGACCTGGTCCCTTAAAGATGCTCAGCTTTGCACTTCATGTTGGCTTCATTCCCAAGCTCTGCATTGTGATACAGAGACTGCCAGAGGAATAAAGACACAGTGGCATGGTCTTAACAAGCTGAAGCCCAGGCTGGGGAGCTGACATCCAGGCTTTTGGAGTCTTGATTATTTTTTTTAATTAATTAATTTATTTATTTTTGGCTGTGTTGAGTCTTTGTTGCTGCGCGCAGGCTTTCTTTAGTTGTGGCGAGCAGGGGCTACTCTTCGTTGCAGTGCATGGGCTTCTCATTATGGTGGCTTCTCTTGTTGCAGATCACAGGCTCTAGGCGCATGGGCTTCAGTAGTTGTGGCTCACGGACTTAGCTGCTCCGCGGCATGTGGGATCTTCCCGGACCGGGACTCGAACCCATGTCCCCTGCATTGGCAGGCGGATTCTTAACCACTGGGCCACCAGGGAAGCCCCTGGGGTCTTGATTTAAAACACCAGTCTTCAGTATATGAAAAACTCAGTAAGTTAGGTAAAAACTGTGAACCAAGCACAATCTCCTTCGTGCCCTCAACGCCTGTTGGTCTTGGAGAGTCTCCAGGAGAGGAGGGGGGAGGCCGTGGCTCACCCTGAGGACGTAGACACTTTGGCAGCCACACCTGGGAGCCCTCCACCACCTAGAAACAATCTTATATTCTGCTGAGTCCCCAGAGCACTT